AGCCCTTCCTGGCAGATATAAGAAAGAAAGGCTACGTAGACTGCAGGTAGTGTGAATCTTCTAAAAGACTAATGTGTGTAAGATATCATGCCACCTGACTTGACTATTCATGGTTGGTGCAGGAATACCAGTTCATCTTCCCTGATAGATGGTGGTCTAGTTCCACTTGAGCACATCCCGTGATGGGAGGTGGAGCCTTGTCTGGATCATTGGCTCCACTTTAAACTGGCCTTACTCTATTGACCGATAGGAGAGTCATTACCAAGAGTCTTTTGAAGCAAATTGCAGGTTGTGTTTTGATAGAAGGAACTATATGGCAATTCTCTTCAGTGATATGAATCTAGGTCTCCTAGTCTGGTCTGGGAAGCTCAGCAGTGTTGGCTGGTTGTTACTGAGATAGGAGACCACTAGGAGATCCTAGGAAGGATGGCTAGGCTAGGAAGTTGGGAAAACATCCCCAAAGGAAGTAGTGACAAACCCACTTCTCTATGGTTGCCAAGAAAACCAGGTAAATATATCCATGAAGTCACCAGCAGTTGAGTAAAACAAGATTTTCCTTCCGACTAAAAGGAGGAATGCCCCCAACATAAAGGTCACATTTTTGGTAGCTTTCAACAAGCTTTTCTGCTGTCCATCTTTCCACTTTTAATACGGAGATGAGGGTCACCTGGCGTATCTGGCAGGGCTGTTGTAAGATTGGCTGAGTTCGTGTGTGCAGCGTCTGTTGAAACAGACAATGGGACAAAGCAGAGATCACCCCCTGCTAAGGGTATAATGAATCTGGGGATCCCACTAAGTAGGATTAAGGCAATGAAATAAACACAGGAGCACGTGCACAGCACATATGGACGTCTCATGTTAGCAAAAGGATTGGATGAAAAGAATATTCCACTCAGAAAACTGGAAGGTCCTAAAGGTTACTGTGCTCTTGGTTGATATGTTCCAACAGGTCCATCAACTTCCTGTTTTCCTCTACTTTAGTTTCAACACCTAAAGCTCTTAGTTTACTTGTGGTTCAACATCCAAACTATTTTCATCTAGACCCAGTTCCCTGCAACGGCTGCTGCCTCTCTTAAACTCTCTCTCTTTCTTAGAACAGACCCCTGTTGCCCTTATAAGCTGAATAATTAGAAATAGGCAGTAGATATCCATACGATGATGATGTCAGCTAGGATTGGTATCTCTCCCTGATTTAAGCAGCAGCTGCTTACCTACTAGTATGATCTGGTGCAGCAGAGGCAAGTCAGATGGCTACATTTTTGAATTATTTTCTTTTATTCAAACTGGATCTGCCGCACAAAACCTCCTGTTCTTTATTTTTGTCTATCAGAGTTATGTTTTGGAACAATACAGAAACACCCACCCTTCTTCCCCTGGCTTGTTAAGATACTCCCAGATCAGCTTTCTTTTACCTGGCCCTCTCCAGATGTTTTGCTACTGCTGGAGATGTTGCCAACCGCAGACCTAAGGAATCCCCCTAGGACAAGGGGGTGGGGAGGCAGCTGAGATCTTAGATAAAAAAGATGGACAGAGCGAACCCTAGTCTTGACAGAGATAGTAAAGCAATCGTATGC